TTTTTTAAGATTTGTTTTTTTTTTTAATTGGAAAAGTGGTTATACAAAGAGAAGGAGACAGATCTTCCATCTGCTGGTTTACCCTCTAAGTGGCCGCAATGGCCAAAGCCGAGCCAAACCTAAACTAGAAGCTAGGAGCTTCTTCTGGGTTTCCCATGTAGGTACAGGGTCCCAAGGCTTTTTTTTTTTTTAAGATTTATTTTTAGTGGAAAGTCAGATATACGGTGAGGAGGAGAGACAGGAAGAAAAAAAAATTTTTAATCGTGGCTGCTTGAGCTATATTTCATCTGAATTAAAAATAACTCATACCTGTCCACTTCCATGTCAAGTTCTTTTAGGGGTATTTTCTGTTTTGTTTGTTTTTGAGTTTGGCCTTGGCTTACTGTATTATTTCTCAGTCCTCACCCCTTTTCTGCCTATTATTTATTTTAATAGCAGGTATGTGTTTGTCTTCACAGCACTTGTGTTTCCTGGGAGGCATGTGTGTAATTTGCGATTCTGTGAGGAAGTTCACAAAGGTTCTTACAAAGGCTCTCTTCCCCTCTGATTTTTCATCATTCTCTCCACAGGAACATCCCTTCTCCTTAGGAGCGTTTATTTCTCTTAGATATTTCTGACCTTTCCTTTTGGATTTCTGCCCTCTTGCCTTGCTTCCCCACTCCTTGGTTCAGTTTCCCTGACCTCATTCTCCCTTGACAGAGGAGGTAGAGAAAACGTTAAGTAAGCAAAAGGGGTTCCCAATTCCAAGCACTGGGTTTTATGATTTTGGTACCTGAAGGCCAAGGGCAGGACTTGCCAGGACTCAGGACTGAGAAACTCTTCATTTAACCAGCCTCCAGTTTGTCCTAAATCTCTTTGACAGCATTTCTAAGTTCCCACCTCTGTTAGATGGAAACATTTTGGGTAAACCTGACTTTCCAAGATTTGGGCATCTCCAACTCCACCATGGACTTTTTTCCTTCCTTCCTTGATTTTCATTTTTCATATTATCTCCACCTGGCCTACCCTGGTGCCGCGTGTCATTCCACTACTCATTAGTCAACTGCTGCATGTTTGTGTCTGCATCAAATGAATATTGAAATGTGGAGGAATTACTTATAACTTCCCCACTCTGCACCAGGACCATTTCAATTGCTTTTATGGATTATTTTTTAAGATTTATTTTTTTATTGGAAAGGTTATTTGCAGAGAGGAGAGATAGAAGGAAAGATCTTCCATCCACTGGTTCATTCCCCAAGTGGCTACAACAGCCAGAGCTGACCTGAAGCCAAGAGTCAGGAGCCAAGAGCTTCTTCTGGGTCTCTCATGCTGGTAAAGGGTCCCAAGGCTGTTGGGCCATCCTCTGCTGCTTTCCCAGGCTGCAAGCAGGGAGCAGGTTGGGAAGTGGAGCAGCCAGGACATGAACCGTGTCAATTTGGGAACCCAATACTTACAAGTCGAGGATTTAGCCACTAGGCTATCACACTGGGCCTGTTTTTATGAATTTCAAGTAAATTATACTATAAGGATATTTCCACATTCTTCACTTACCAGTATCTAACTAGGCTGCAAATATTTGCTCTTGAGTTTTTGTTTAGGTCATTATTTCTCTCAAGTTACTCTAATATAGCATCTACTGCTCACATGTGGCTACTTAAATTAATTTTCATTAAAATTACAGCCATAGCTGCTAAAGACTAAGTGGTGGTTTCTGTGGATTGAACCATATATTTAAAAAAAAGTTAAATAAAAAAGATGCAAACCACTTATTCTGTTAACATATTAAGTGTGCCAGTATATTAAGAGCTCTGACTTTTGGGGCCAGCACCGTGTCCTCATGGACTGATCCTCACCTACTGGCAGTGGCATCCTCCATGGGCACTGGTTCGTATCCTTGCTGCTCTACTTCTTGATCAAGCTCCTTGTTTATGCGCTGGAGCATCACCCATGTGTTTGGGCTCCTGCACCCATGTATGAAGCATGGAGAAGTCTCCTTGACTCCAAGTTTAGGACCAGTCCAGCCTGGCCCTTAACGTCTCTCTCTCTCTCTCCCCACCCTTTGTAACTCTGACTTTCCAAGTAAAATAAATAAATCTTTAAAAAAATAAAGAGAAGGCCCTGGCATGTTAACCTAATAGCTAATGTCCTCACCTTGCATGCTGTGCCGGGATCCCATATGGGTGCCAATTTGTGTTCTATCTACCCCACTTACCATCCAGCTCCCTGCTTGTAACCTGGAAGAGCAGTTGAGGATGACCCAAAGCCTTGGAAGAGGCTCTGGGCTGCTGGCCTAAGCTCAGCTCAGCTCAGCTCTGTTTCTCCCTTTGTAGCTACTTGGGGTATGAACCAGTGGACCAAAGATCTTCCTCTCTGTCTTTTCTCTGTGTAAACCTACCTTTCCAATAAAATAAATATATAAATATTTTAAAAAAAGAGAATTTCTGAGATCTAAAATACTGCAATGTGTGACTTGGAGAATTTGTTGATATTGCCCTCAGAAAAGTTTATCCTGTTATCTTTTGGAAAACTACATTTCTCAGACCTGGTGTAATAGCCTACTGGCTAAAGTCCTTGGCTTGTATGCACTGGGATCCCATATGATGCCGGTTCATATCCCACCTGCTCCACTGCCTTGGAATCCCCACCTGCTCCACTTCCTTGGGATCCTGCACTGGTATGGGAGATTTGGAGGAGGCTCCTGGCTTCGGATCCACTCTGCTCTGTCATTGAGTGAACCAGCGAATGGAAGATCTTTCTGTTTTGCCTCCTATCTCTAAATTTGACTTTCCAATAAAAAATAAATTACACCTTGAAAAAAAAAATCACTAAAAAGATGCTAGATTTCTCATCTGTGTAACATGTCTTAAAATATTCTTAGTTGGCTCTGCTATTTGGCCTCTTCTTTCCAAACTGTATTTTACTTTGCTGCTACTGTTGCCTCTTAGATGTTTCAGAGAGCCATTATGCTGAGTAAAAGTGTTTCAATCTTTTTGTTTGCTTATATCCCAGATCCCAAATTCATCCTCTTCTAAGGAGGTCCCTAGTAGGAGCTTATGTGTGTCGTGTGTGCGGTTGGTTCAGACTGTGGCATCCTGCAGGGTAGATTCAGGACTGGGTCATCATATCCTGGCCAGGAATAGGGAAATTATTCATGATGTCATATTTTGTCCTCTTAGCTCTGCATGTATTTGAAAGGGAGGAAAGCTAGAACTGCTGTCTGCTGTGGTTCACTCACTCACTCAAAAGTTTGTATCAGCTGGACAGGAGCTTGAAACTCAAGGTATGTCTCCCATATAGGTGACAGGCAACCACGTCCTTAAGTCTTAACTCTTCCCATGGGTCTGTATCAGCAAGAAGCTAGAGTCAGGCTGTGGAGCCGAGAATTAAACTCAAGTCATCTGTTATGCAACACCTTCCTCTTTTCATTTTAGCACTGGATCAAACTCCTGCCAAACGCTCCTGTTTAGGCTCTTGGGTACCATCAGTTTTCTATTTAATGGAGCAGTATGAGTAGCTTAGCTTTGTCTAACTTTCAGAATATATGTTCAGTGTGATGTACTCTGATCATCTTGATTCTAAAGCTTTGTTTTAATAAATAGTCATTTGTATGGAGAAAAATAGGAGCTCAATTAATAAATGGCGTTACTACTGTCAGGCTCAATGGCTAAGTTGAATTAGTGTCATTGTTACAGAAGATAAAATTTGAAGCAGTATTGAGAGCAAGTAGCATCGAATGTTAGAACAATAGCTGACAATTTTATGGTGATTTAATCACCATGCACCCACATTTTCTCATTCAGGCAGTTAACTCATATTTCTTGAATGTAGTGATATGCTTCTGGGGTGATTCAGAGGAAAGGGGTACAGAGAAAAAAAACAAGAAACAAGCTCACAGCAATAGTGAATTTGTTAGAGATTAATAGATTCAAAGAGGGAGCTCTCTGCCTGTACATAGATCAAGTGGCCACCTGGCAAAGGCCTAGTCATTCAGCAGGCAGGGCTTGTTGTAATTTGGGATCTTGTGGTCTTCCTAGGAGTGGAAGGATTCCAAGAAAATGCAGGAGTGAGAGGAGACTGGACCAGCTTTTCATTCTTGCTCCTGGGGGCAAGGTAGTTGTAAGGAAATGCAGAAAATGGGGTGGGGAACAAATTAGACTGGTCTTTTGAACTACAATCTAAGAAACGCTTGAGGGAGAGTCTCTCTTTAGGATCCTGAGGGCATAAGGATCAAACTTGGGCTCTCAATCCCTTCAGCGTAAAATACCCCTTGGTCTACACAACTTTGGTCTAGAAACTAGGAATTATAATGCTTAGAGGAAAACATACATGTGGAAATGGATTCTTAGATTTGATATCAAAACCACAGGCAGCAGAAGAGAAAGATGAAGCATGCTTGACCAAACATGAAATCTTGAGTGCTCCGAATGGCACTGTCAGAACGGGGAAAGAAGGGCCTGTCTAGTAGAGCATCTAACTGAAACAAGCGGCTTGTATTGCCAACATCCTGTATCAACCCCCAGCTACTCTGCTTTTGGTCTGGTTTCCTGCTAATGTGCCTGGGAAAGCAGGAGAATTTACCCAAGTACTTGAGTCCCTCCCACCAATGTAGGAGACCTGGATATACTAACAGATTACCAGCGTTGGCCTAGCCCATCTCTGACCATTGTGGCTATTTGTGGAGGGAGAAAGATGAAGGCAGAGTTTCTTTCTCCCTGTTTCTCTCTTTTTTCATATCATTGCCTTTCGTGTAAAAATACGCATTTCTTTCTTTCGTTCTTTCATTATGTTAAGCGGAGAGGTGTTGTGATTGAAACGCAAAGGTAGAGTTCAGTGTCCTGGAGAAATTGCAAATGAGCAATATTAAGCCTTGATATATTTAGACCTATATTTAGTGATAATAAAAGTGCTTCGAAACTAAATATTCCTCATCCATTTTTTTTCCTGCACTCATTTCACTGCTTTCTTCCTCGTATCCCAACAAAACTTGCTGTTCCTTGGCATTTTTGATATTTGGTACTTAGGCTCGCTTCGGCAGCGCATACACTGAAATTGGAACGCTATGGAGATTAGCATGGCCCCTGCACAAGGGTGATGCTTGGTACTCGACTCAAATCTTCACTCCTTAATGAACCTCTCTTGATTTGCCAAAATCATTTTTATCCTGCTGTTTGTAAACTTGGAACGCTCTTGACCCTTTGCTATGTTCATGAATAGTTTTTGTGTTTATTTCCTAAACACTGGGTTTGTGATTTTTTTTCTTCTCTTTTCTCTTTTTTTTTTTTTCTTTTTGTTGGCACATGATTGAATTGCCTGCACTGACTTGCTCCAAGCTAATTAATAACTACTGGAAAGCACTTAATAAATAAGGATTTAATTAAAATAAGACTTCAGAAGTGAGAGTTTGGGGCCTAACAAAGCCGCAGAACACAATGGCGTGGGTAAAAGTTCAAGTCACAGTTTTACTCTGGAATTTCATACTTGTTTTGGAAACTGCCATGAGAATCCTTCAGTTATTTGGCATCCTGTTTGCATCCACTGTTAACATCCTTTGAATTTCACTTGCAAGAGATTTACTGTGTGTTTAACATCATTAGGTGGTAGGATACAATTGGACCACATATCATGGTCATATCACTGCTCATGTAGTTCAATGTGCACAAAAGGCTTCCTTTCAGTATGTTGCTGTATGAGTTTTTTCTGTAGAATGGAAGAATCACTTTCTTTGCCACAAAATAGTTAGTAACCTACAGTGAAACTAAATTTGAAAAAGTATTTCCAGAAGAAACTGTTTGAAAATCTTCTCTCTTCTGCTAATGTGCAAAGAAAACCTAAGACATGCTACTGTTCATTAAAATTTAGGGAAAAAAAAACCTCTGTAATAAAGTTATGAATCATATGCAAAGGTTTATGTTTGCTTATGTTAAAACAGGTAAATATGGGAATTTGAAAAATGTTAGTTTCACCAGGCCTAACTCTATCACCCGAGGGTAGGAAATTGGACATGCCCTTTGTAACTAGGTCTTTAGTTCTCGAACAAATTGGCTCCGTAATTTCCTTGCTTAATGAATCTTCCAGAAACAAGGGGTTTGGATTGTACACCCTGCTCTTAGGAGACTTGGTAAATATTTTGGCAGTGATATTCCTGTTTGGAGAAGAAAAGTGGGTGAATAAATGGGCTTAGCCATCAAAAATCCTTTCCATAGATTATTTACCGTCATCTGACACAAACGAAATGTTGTGTGGTAGTAATTTACTTCAGGTCATCTAGATGTAGGAGAGTGCTAATTCTTATCCAGTGTTTGATCTTGCTGGGATTTTGATGAAACGAACAGGCTTATTTTGATTGCCTTTTGCTCTTAAAAGCCATGAATTTGGGAGATAATTTTTAAGTCATCAAATTTCCCTTTAAAATTATCCCTGAATGCTTATTTTGAAGTTTTCATTGACTGACTTTTGTTTCCTAAGAGCTGAAGTTATCAGGGTCTGGAAGGAGGCAGTATGTACTTCAAAAGATCACATGACATTTTGTACCTTAGGTAGAATGAATGATCCATTTCAACTGATAGAAATATATATGCATCTCAGCAAACAAGAAAAATGCAGCCTCTTGTAATGGGTGATAATTTTGCTCAAATGATCGTGTTACTCTGCTCCTTCATGGCTCATTTTGCACACTCACACATACACCTTCCTAACAAACTCTGGTCACTGTCAACCTCTCCCCTTCTCCATGATTCCTTTGTTCTCTGGAACGTTTTTCTTCTATGTTAGTAACTAAGATCCTCATGTGCCGAGTGACATCATGGAATCAAATATTCCCTGTGTATGATGCTCTTACTGCATATGGGAATATCTGGGTTTAATTAGTAGTTGCACTCATGGCTGCAGATTTCTGTGGAGACAGTTGGTGATGGATTAAGTATTTGGGTCCCTTAAGTCCACTAGAGACCTAGATTGAGTCCCAGACTCTCAGCTTCAATCTGACCTGACTGTGGCTATTGTGAGCATTTGTAGAGTGAACCAGCAGATGGAAGTTTTCTCTTTGTATTTCTGCTTTTCAGATGACTAAGTTCAAACAGTTTTGGTCACAAGCCTATACCTAGAAGACCCTTCTCAAGTCACATGAGTGGAGTGAATGCTGATTGGTCAGAAGTTGCAAATGTCCCTTCCATGAAATATGATTTCTAATACCTGCAGCCTATCATTGTTTCACCCAAGAAATTTATCTTGGGATTCACCAAAGCATAGGAAAAAGCCAGAATCAGCAGACACTTGACTGCTGTGGCAGAAATAATATCAACTATTAATACAAGTTATCTTCTTCTCAGCTTCACTGTGTGGTGCCACTGACAAATCCCGAGATAGACTACTGTCCATTACAAAAAAGCCGATGGTGATGAAATGCATAATTACTTATCGTATTTCATCTTTGAAAAAACAATGCTCTACCTTTTTGTTGTGTTTTCATTTGCAAGTGAAATCAACCAGTTCAAGCAATTTGAATTAGTGGGATTTATTTCCCTCTTTCTTGACATCCCCTCCCCTAGTTTACCCCTAGCTGGTAGAGGTTCTGGCAGACAAGGGGTACGCACCTGCTTCTCCAGATCATTTTTAAAGGGGTTTCTCTGAGAGCTGGAGAAATCTGCCCAAGAGTGGTCCTTCACCTTGAAGCTGGCAAGCACATATCATTAGCTTGATGGTTGGTATTGGCAGGGATCCATTGATGGGAACCTTACATAATCAGAGTGTTCATGGCAAATGTTAATAGACTGTACTTGAAAATGAAGGGTAAAAATCTCCATGTGTTAGGTTAATTGCATCAGCCTAGTAGTCACAGTGAAGGGGTACAAGACAGCTCCTGGGAGAAATGATGAAACCTGTTGGTGTCCTGTCTCATTCATTCACCCAACGGGGAGCTGTTTGAAGTGTTTGTTCCTGGGTTCTTGCATGAATACTGACTAGGAGCTTTTGTAGTCTTTGTGACCAGGATTCAAAAAGAGAACTACATTCTTAGTTTAAATATAGGGACTTGATGAACTCTGGTAAAGTTAATCACCAATTTCAACCTTAGAAAATGTGATTAGGTAAAAACAGCTTTAAGAAATCCTCCATGTTTGTGATAAGATATTACAAAAGAAGAAAAATGGATTTTCCAAGGAGTTCATAACACTTATTTGGCTCCTCGTGTTTATTAGAACATTGTTGCCCACTCTGTCACTCACCATGCCCCTGCACAGTTATTGAGTTGTCCCATTACCCTCTGCATTCTGTGTTTGTAATTCACTTGGCTTGTACTGGCAGCTTAATGAATTTGATCAGTTGGATTGGTGATAAGAATTTAAACTGCAGTTTTTGCAAATATTTGTGTTTACATATATGTGTATGCATCTCCATTCATTTTTTATTAGAAAATACTTGCCAAAGTACTGAAAGAGATGTATTTCGGGTACTGCATAGTTAATTCTTTTGTTTAATTTATTTGAAAAATATGAAGAAGCAGATAGAGCAATTTTCCATACATCTATTCTTTCCACAAAGGTCTATATGAGCTGTGACTGGGCCAGGCCAAAACCAGAAGCCCAGAACTCATTTAGAGTCTTTCATATGCGTGACCAGGACCCTATCTTTTGAGCCATCAACTTTTGCTTCCTTGGGTACAAATTAGCAGGAAGCTGGAATCATTGCTAGAGCTAAGACTTGAAACCAGGTATTGAGATGTGGGATGCAGGCATTCCAAGTGGTGCTTTAACTACTACATCCAATGCCCGTTATGAGTTTATTCTGTAATTTAATGAGTATTTGTTAAGTATCATGCCAATATTAGTCCAAGGAGACAAAGAAGATGAAGATCTATGGACGTAATAGGCATAGAGCTCTTTTAGAAAGAAGAGGTAGATGGTGTTTGGCCAGAAATCTGGTGAAGTTGGGTCTTCTTCCTGTGAATGACTGGATGGGGCTGGGTGGCTGTGGGGAAGGAAGGTTCCCAGGCAGAGGGGCTAACTCAAGAAAAGCAAGGAGCTTTGGGTATGTTTGGGAACAGCAAGTGGTTTTGATGTGGGATAAGACAGGTACCTAGATTAGGGCCTTGAGCTGGAAACCACTCTTTCCCTGCCCCTACTAATCTTATCCATCCATCTGCCAGTCAAATGACCCCTCCTCCAGAATGTATCTACCCTGACTTGTGGCTGTCGCATATAAGCACTCTACTCTACAAGCTCATAGAAAGCCTGGCAACATGAAGCTATGCTCTGTCACTTTCCATAGATCTGGAAGAGCAGGGTACTGAAATACCTATTTTCTCCCTGCTTCACCTTTTCCCTCCCTGGCCCACTTGAATCTAGACATGGTCTGTTTGTATCTAGAATTTCCTCACTTTTTAGACTGTCACCTTGTAACTCATATTTATGCCTATAATTAGAATGCTTTTCTTGGGTATAAGGGGCAAGAGTCTGGAATGGGGAAATAGGGACTTTTAGAGCTCACCAAGGCTATAGCAGTCTCTCAGAGCAGCTGGATTCTACCAGACTAGCAAGGTTAACCTTCCTTCTCTGGAAGATACAGTCTCTAACGATCCCTTTTCTTTGCTGTTTGTTGGCCAGGCACCCCTTTTAAGCCTTTGAAAAGATGGAAGTCTAGTTCAGTAAAGAGAAAAGTTTATTTTTTAGTTGAGAAGCCCAACACATGAAAGTAACATCTACTTGTTTCTGTATCTGTGGGTAGTTTTTTTGTTTGTTTTTGTTTTGTTTTTTTTAAGACAAGATGAAAGTCATAGTTCTAGGTTCTAGATACAGGTTGCTTGGGTTTTGTTCTCTTACCATGCCTGTGTAGCTGTGAGCCTGGATTCCTTCATTCTACACTGGGGATAACGATAACATGTTCTCAAGGTGAGTGTGAGTTAAAACAGCTCATCCACAGCCAGTCCTTGGCACATGGCTTGACATGTTTTGAACACTGAGCACATACTGAATGTATTTTTATAATATAGACAAAAGTTTCTGAAAGCTTTTAATAGCAATCAATCAGTATATTCTTTGATATTATTTATAGAAAGTCTTTAAGTATGCATAAGATGATTAATAAGTGTCAAACCATGTGGGTCTTGAAGTCCTCTAGAAAATATTTTT